TAAGGAAGCGAATACTATAAATTAATGCCGTTTTATATAATGTGTAAATGAATTTATGTACCTAAATATATTATCTACGCGTCAGTCATAAATTTATATACAAAAATTTTAATTATTATATAAGATCTTGGCTGTAAATCCACTCGTCCATCCAGGTTAATTCCGAGCTTTGCATCAAAATATCTAATAATGTTCCGTTCTTAAATTAGTTATAAACAAATTTATTTTATGTAAAAGCCAGTGATTTAAATAAGAATTTAATATAAATGGTGATTAAAATTTCCGTGACAGTTCCTGACCAGGCAGCTTTCCGCTATGAAAGATGTCAACGAATCTCGCCTGAAGCTCTACGAACAGTTAGAGACGAGTATCGCCGAATTCGACAAGACAAATATCAAACTGCAACAAGAATCGATCGCCGATAAGAAAAAGATAAAAAGGTAAATTTCGGCCAACGATCTTTTATTTTGCGAGCGACTCGAAAAACTTGTATGTATTTTTCTCTCTAGTCTCAATAATACGGTGAATTTGCTGGAGAAAAGATGCGAAGATTTAGAAATGTTAGTGGAAGAGTTAAAAAATACGAGAGAATACGGAGAAACCATACAAGAAATCATCAAGCATAACGATTGCGACATCCTTGTAAAGACAAAAGACGTCTTCAAGAACAAAGTAATTTTTATTAAATTAACTGCGTGTCGTTAATCAGTTTTTAAGTTTTTGGATGTATTACGATCCCGCAGATGCTATTTTACATTTATTTGCATTAAATGCAGCTGCCGAAAAGATTGATTGCTAAATACTTCGGAGCAGCTGCAACCTTTTACGTCACCCGATGTAATAGGAAAAATTACTTTTCCAGACATTTAATATTTCTAAGAAGCTGGTATAACAATATTTTGTAAAAAGTTCGGTTAAAAGGCCGTACGATTGGTATAACTCGGTGTCAACAGATAGTCGTAGCATATACCTGTCGTACAGCCTCTTGGAGAAAGGTTTCGAGCTTTCGTATTACTTAAAACAATATTTTATATTATACAAAAGTAATTTTAACAAAAATTTCTTTTAATTAATTTCTCGTGTTAAGCTTAATTAAGCTTCGGATAGTTTTAATTATATTTTTACCCCGTAAAGACGTGTTCGCTGTATAACTCGTAACTGAACAGCGAAGCCAACTTTCGGCCGACGGGTTCTTTTTATTTTCGATGAAACCCGGTTTTGTTAGATTTATAAATACAGCGGATCTATAATAACAATAGTTTATTAAGATTAAAACACGCGTTTAGCGATCTCGGAATTAACTAAAACTGTTTTGTAATTCCAGGAAAATGAATACGAAGAGGAAATTTGCAAATTGAAAGCATCCCTTTCCAAAGCAAAAAGCAATATGGCCAGGGAACAGAGACAGAGAGAAGAATTGGAACTTGAACTTAGTTTCTTGTTACAGGTTAATTATGAAATTCTCATAGTAAAAATTAAGTTAAATTTGTAGAAATTTCAATACATATTCGTTTATAAATTTCGTAGGACAATACGACTCTTCAGAAACAGTTAGAATGTTACAAAGAGAAATTGTTATATTTGGATGGAAAATGTAGTCGGCAGGACGAATACGAATGGTAATTAAACGCATTAAATGCAAATTTTTAAATAATTTTAATTAAAAAGTATAAAATTAAAATGAACGTAATTTATCGCTACTGTTGCGCTTAGCAGTAAACAAATTAATATAATGTCCTCGATGGTGCTTTAGTCTTTCGAATAGGAATTACGAAGTTTCAAAACAGTGGTCGGTGTGCCAAAAAAGGCCTCCTATTTTAAGGGGCTAAATTTCAGTCGATTCGTTGACCCCGTCTATGCCTCCTGACGGGGCACTCGCTCATCTCGCGTACTTAATCCACGTGTCAAGGTCGAGCGGTAGTTCGTTATCAATGGGTATGCTTAACGATGACGTCGAGTCGTACTTACCCGGCAATTTTATTATGTTTTTTCACGTTTATATTAATAATTTATCTTCCCGTAATGTAGTTGTTCGTGTTTGTTCTAGATGACGTGGATTAGTAAATCAAAATTCACTCGTCAGCTTTCTTTTCGTCCACTACGGCTCGATGCCACCGTTAAATCTGTCCGTGTATATTATATATTCCTTCTAGAGTATGTGTGTGGTCTCGTTGTCTCTTCTGAATAATTAGGAAAAATAAGGTTTCCTGTACCCAATAATGCGCCTTTAAAAGGTATACGTGTTCGCAGGTTGGATGGAAAGTAACTGGGCATCGAGAAATCGTTATAATATTTGTAATGATGACGAAATCGTAATAAAATTTATGCATGCATATACATCGAGCGATAGAATTTCATGATAATTGAATCGATGATGTAGACTGTGACCGAGAGAGTCGGTGCGCTTCTCTCGGTCGCAGTAGCAGAAAATATGGCCTATCACTTGTCTGTTCGCTATGAAGTGTGTAAATATGTGATTGCTACGCAGAGATGGTGGAGTACAGTGAAGGAACCTCTTGCCACAATCCGTCAGGAAACAATAGAGTTGTCATTCAAAACTAAAATGTCCACAGATTCGGTCGCAGACGCGCAGAGCCGTGGCCGTTCAACCACACCGCGATCCGAGGAAAACGTGTCGTTGGTGGGTGGAACTGATGCCTAAATTGAATTTTAAAATATGCACCAGTATTTCCATTTAATAAGGTACTTGACAAGTAATTTTAACCATCATTGCTTTAGAAATGTAGAAATTATAGCAATTTCTTAATGCCTAGTTACTTTCTATCCACCCTTTAGAAACTTATAACACTAGATTGGATAGCAATAACGAATAAGCTAAAGTTTAAGGAATCAAAACGGATGGAAATTATTTTGGCAATGCCAGTTTGTGATCCCGACTAAGCTTAAATGTATAACGTGAATACGTACTTTTGTGCAGAAAATACACGCCTTTCATTTACATTTCAAATGAAAACTCGCCAACTTTTTATGCAGATAAGAAAGAGAACTTTCTTAAACTAGAATTTAGAAAAAAATTTTCACACGTTCTGGTGACCTGACCTCAGGTGTGTGTATGTTGTGTATATATATACATACAGCATTTGTGATCTAAAATAAAAGTCTTGTCGGTGAATGGTACTAATAATCTGATTAAAAACTTGAATAGTCGTTACACCTCCTTCGTTCATATTTGGCTCATTTTCATACGAAATTAAACACTAACGGAAGAATTTGTAGAAAGGAATTAACTGAAGTCTAGCCCTTTGAAATGCTAAGAAAGATATCTTCCCTAAATTCTGTACGAGTTATTGAAGGAACAATGAAATTATGCAAGAGAATTCATAAATGCCAAACTTTTGAAGTTTCTTCGAAAGAATTCTGCAAAATTCCAAATACCGGAGTTCAATGGTTTAAACCACCGAACACTGGTCGCGAGTTCGCGCCTCACCAAAAGAGTTTCCGGTTTACGTGTCCAACACCTAAATAGGGGCAGTTTCTGGTAGAATGTCCTTTCGGAAGGCATCCATCCTTGGCAGATGGGCCGTGTGTTTAATTAATTATCCTACATTGTGGTCCGAAAGTTTGTTAACCGAGTTAATTGATTTGGGGCCATACGGTTCTTCAAATTCGTTGTATTCACAGTATTTTTTGGTTTGTTACAATTTAATAATTCTTTAAGATAAATACTTTTTTTAAAAATTTCCTTACAGAATAAATCTATTTCTTTACAGTATCCAGATCAACAGATCGCTTCATCATCATCAATCGTCCATAAACGATCTTATGTACATGCAATCCGACGTGGAGGACGATTCTCTAACTAAAGAGGACCTGACGCTTTTCCACCTCAATAATGGCGTCGTGGCTTACGGAAAACAGGATTCAATTCTTCCCGTTAGTAACTTAATCAACGATTCTCAATACGAAATGAGGAATGCCACGTCTCTTCTGAACGAACTCGATGCTCAGTATCGAGTTCTTATAGATAAGTACGAATACATGGTTCAGAGCAGGGTAAAGAAAGACGATTCGAAGAATATAAACTACGAAGATTCATCCACGAAAGATTCTTTCGTCTCGAATTCCAACGACACGAAAGATTCGTCCGATTGGGATTCTGGAATTTCAGAAATTTCGGATCAGAGTCTATCGAGCCAAGTGAGTGTCCAGACGGATATTTCGAATAAATCCATCGAAGGAAACTTTAAACACGGGCCGCCAGCTTACAAGAAGCTGTTTGCCGAAATTTTTAGTGTCTTGAAACGATCTTTGCCCAACGACGGCGAAGAAGAATCAAAAGACGCGGTTGCCAAGGAATCGGTCGTGCCAAATTCTACTTCGGAGCAAATGCAAATTAATTCAAAAGAGGACTTTTCCGCGACCGAAAAGAAGAAATCGGAACGTTCCGATAAAGTAAACACTGCGAAAAAGACTAACGATGCTCCAGTTTTGAGCAGGATACAGCCATCATCGGTTACTTCTCAACGTAAGTTTGTGAGTAAGAAATCGTGCAACGAAATTGTAAAAAACATAAAAAATTCCGCATTTGCAGAAATTCGAGCCAAGTTCGAAAACAGCAATAGCAATATACCCGTTAAAAAGAACTATTATAAGACGTACGCCGATGTCTTGAAGGGAAGACATCGAGTCGTCCCTCAAATCCAATAAAGACGATTCTCTAACTAAAACTCACACCCCCAACCATTGAATATTTTACTCGCTTTTAACAGATGGGATACTAAAAACATGAATTAATTGCTTAGAATTTTAAATATTGTATTTAACGGAATATTCAAAATTTGTATATTTTAAAAATATATTTTTTAAACGTGATTATTTTTAAAACTAAACCCGTGGAAATACCT